TTTAGAAAACTATTTTATGAGCTTCATGAACACCAATATTCGACTATTTAAAGAGGAGCAATAAGTCATGAAAGTGATTTGAAATTTTGTCTCTATCACATTATACAGTAGTGGTTTCTTATTGCAATAGTGTTTGATAGTTACTGTAAAGCAATCACTGCTGTAGTAGTCTGTTTTTTTATAAAATACGTCTAAAATGAGCACACACAATATATTCTGTTGTTTTTGGTCGGATTTGAACCTTCTTTATGTTCTACTCGCCGCGCCCCACATTGCTGTGTCTGTCGTATCGGAGTTCCACCCCTGCTTTTAAAATAAACATATTGCATATAACTTCAAACACACAAATACTGTGTAACTACAAAGAAAATTTTAATGATTCAGCAAGTTTTAATTTAACTGTAAAAATGGGGATACAATTTCACCTGAAGTCGGATATTAACGTTATCTGAAGTATGACTGCTAAACACATTTTTTAAATAAAATTTGTATAATACGTATTTACGCTTTAAAAGAATGCCGAGCAACTTATTCATATCCAATTATGTAGATAAAATTGAACTTTTAAACTTGTTAATTTTTATTAAGTGTAAAACTTATTTGAAAACCGATTAGCATTAATTTTAAAAGAAGTTTTTCTTTTATCTAAATGTTTTGCTCCTTTTTTTATGCTTGTAGTCAAAGAACGGGAGAATTTAAAGATTTAAATTCCTGAAGCGGTTATGACCCTTTACTAATTAAAAATTGAGGAGTAAAAGCGTTCAAGTATTCACCACTCAATAGGCATTTCTGAGGATCTGGTATTTTTTCTAGGTGCATATGGCACCAGAGCTATCTGCTTACCAAATATTCACTTTTTGTCGCATATGCAAGTGGTCAATCTAATTCAAGCACTTCAGAAAAATGTATTGTATATATCGCCGCGCTCACTCTAGGCCAGTTTTCGGTCACTTTAAACTCCATTATTGAGATTACTCTTTTTTCCCGTTAAAAAGAGAATGAACCGCAAACTTTGGCAAGAACAATTTCCAAGCAACTTACCTGCAAATAACTGATCTAGTAGGTGCGAATACTAAAGAAACGAAACATCACCACTTTACTTTTATAGGTACTGCGGTCAAGATGATAATATATGTATCTATAATAGAACGCTCGTATTTAAGGAGGGATAGGTAAAAGTTGTAAAAACAATTTTTATTATTTACTTTTGTAACATTCATTTTTCTGTACCATCCCCATTCGTCTCAATTATATTTTTTCTTTTTTTCTCATGTGACAAAAATATTTTTTTTTATAAATTGCTAACTGTAAAATTACTTCAGTGTGCTGTGAAATCTTATTTGCAACACATAATTTTATCCTCAGGTCGGAGCACAAATTGATGATTGGGTAATTATTTCTTACCATCTTGTTTTGAATATTTTTTCAACTATCTAATTTAAATTAAATTCCTTGCATGTTAATCAGTCAGTCCATCTGTCTGCATTTTTAATAGTATTCAATGCCGACTTCAGTAAGAACTAACGGAATAAAATCAATAGGCCTACTTCTTTATTTTAAAAACATAAATACCAACGTACTAGTTTACTTTTTAAAATTTAAATTTACTAAAATAAATTTTTAAAACTCTAATATAAATACCTTTATAATAATAACCTTTCAAATGCACTAAAATTAAAAAAAAAAACGTGCTTTCATTAAAAAAGCATTAAGCATGAAGTCTATTACAAATTGGATCGAAAATTCATTGACTTAACACAATCCGTCCCATGAGCCGGAGATTCCGGCTCGCGCCAGCTTCACCGTAGGCCCGCGAGCCGGAGTCTCCGGCTTGGCAACCCTAGTGTTTGTTTCATGCGAAAATTCAGTCCAATATTTAAACTAACTTATTCAAATCCATGTTTTTAAATACACGACATCCGGATCTTTCTTTCGGTTCAAAAATTTTGCACTGGGAGTGTTTCGCGTGTTTTATTCAAGTTTAAACTTTGTGTTTACGTTTTAAAATTCATTATGGAATCAGGTCCCTCAGGCCAACGCCCACTCAAGCGATTTTGTGCTGAAGAAGCACGCGTTATGCTTGATGAGTGGATGAATAATTTAGATTCAGATGAAAAAACATCGGTTTTATCATCTGATGAAGATAATAATTATTCATCAAGCAGTGAGGGTGATAGATCTGGTAGTAGTGGTGATACTGATAGTGATTGTGATAACAACAAAAGTGGGTGTGGCAAACCTTCTGCAGGGAAGGGTAAGGGACCCATGCCTAAAAAAAGGAAAGCTGGTACTAATACTGCTAGTACTAATACTAATGTAACAGGACAGGATGAGCCTGTAACTGTCAGTGGTACTGCTACTACCACTAGTACTACTAATTTTATTTGGGCAGAAGTAGATAAAGGTACAACGCAAAACAACTTTCGTTTTGTTCGCCACGAATTCCATGGCGTAAACTCGGATAAAATAACACCCGAGTCAACGGAGCTAGATTGCCTGCTTACTTTATTGAATGACCAGATCATTGAGCTATTATTAGCTAATATCAATGAGTATGCTAGGGGAAAATTAGTGTTTCCTCAGCTCAGGCATTCAGTGTACTACAAATTTCAACCAGTAACGAGACCAGAGTTGTTGAAATTTTTTGCTATTTTGATAGCTATGGGCCTCAACCCTAGGCCTTCAATAAAAAGTTACTGGTCTGTAAAAGAAGCCCACCTTTTTACACCTTGGTATGGACAAACCATGGCCAGAAACAGATTTCAGGCCCTTTACCACACATTTTTACATGCGGCTGGTGACAAGGCAGAGTCGCAAGATAAAATTGAGCCCTTTCTCAATACATTGATGGCATCATTCCAAGATGCAATTTTACCCCGGTCTTAATTTATCTGTCGATGAAATGGTCATTGGATATAAGGGAAGGTGGAAGAACAAACAGATCAATGCCACAAAGCCTTCTAAATATCATATAAAAACATTTGGCTTGTGCGACAGTAAGACGGGGTATGTCGTAAATTTATTTACGTACTACGGTTCTGAGACTACTTATCATCCAGACCTAGACAAAAATTGCACCATGGCTGAGAAGGTTTTTCAAAAATTGTTGACACCACTAACAAAAGGCCACCATATTTTTGCAGATAGGTTTTACACCTCTGTACCTCTGCTTGAGTTTCTCAGCCGTCAGAGTCATTATTATACTGGCACGGTCGACATAAGACGGAAAAATTTCCCTCCTGCACTCAAGTCTCTTGTCTTGAGCCATATGGAGATGAAGTGGTACATGCATGAAGACAAGTACCTTACAGTGGCATTTAGGGATAAAAAGGCTAAAAGGTTTGTGTCAGTTGTGACCAGTCAAGGAAGTGTTAGCAAAACACTAATCAAAACCAAACGTGGTGACGTCGAAAAACCAACAGCCATAAATTTATATAATCAAAATATGAATGGTTGTGATAGAGCAGATCAGCTAGTTGGCTACTATGGCTGCCACAAAAGAAAAAGCCACAAGTGGTGGAAAAAAATATTCCACTGGCTGTTGGAAATCTGCCATGTCAACGCTGCGATTTTATTTCGTGAGTCTCACCCCGAGCAAGCGAAGATCAATCTAGCTCAGTTCAAGTCCAACTTGATTGTTCAACTTATAGCTGAAGCTGGTAGATCACTTGTTGAGAAACCTGTGGATATTGCCCTAGCCCAGCAACCACAGCCAAGTGTGAATTTGGTTACTGACAATCCAACCATTCGGCTAGCCGCTAAAATACATATCCCTATGTCGGCTAAAAAAGACCGTAATTGTCAGGTCTGTAGTAAACCAGGTGCTCGCAAAAGAACCAGCAATGTATGTGCAGATTGTCCTGGTCAACCATTTTTATGTAAGGAGCCCTGCTTTAGAATTTGGCATACTAAGAGTAACTATAAATCTTAGTATGCTAGTTGTAAAAAAAGATGTCCTGTTTTCAGCTTTTCAATCTTTTTAGTTTTTTGTGCATAACTTTTTTATTTTACAAGTGTTTTCTTTCATATTTGGATATATTGTGTATATATGGATAACCAACAAAATGTGTAAGTTTCATAAAGTTTGGGTAAGTGGTTGGTGACTTGTGATTATGTAAGTAGGAAATATTTTTTTATTTTTTATGTGTTGTTACACTAACACCTCATTTTAACATGTAAAAAAACTACTTTCTTTAACATAACCCTCAATTATCTTCATTTATTACTATAGAAAATTCATTTCTGTTTATTTTGATGTATAATACATAATTCTGGTTAGAAAAACATAGGAGCTATAATCATTTAAGTAGGTGAGGGCTGTGTAAAAAAAATTGGGTCACGAAACAATGAGGTCAGGAGGTTGAAAACCTCCTGGTATAGAATGAGCAAATCAGGTCTGTTTTGTTTTATTTTTTTAAGTGCATTTGAAGATAATAATGATTAAGAATGCTTATTTATATATTACTAGGCATACTGCCTAGCTCCGCTTAGGTTGTCAAAAAAAAATTGAGGAATCGAATGATTAATTAATAGGTGATTGGCTGCTATGTTAAATGCTTAGGGCCTAAATTTATACAGTGGAGTAATTTGATGGTATACAAATATTGATGAAATATTCGCAAACTTATTACTCCCACGGTTATTAGAACTGCAAGGGTTTTATTAATAGTATCAATCACATATTATAATAAATTACTTTCGCAATTGATTTTTACAATTTCAATACAATGCAAAACTTAATTTATAACAAAATATTTATTTAAAACAATGCAATACTTTATGATTTTTGTTTTTTTCTTGAAAAGAGTATAGAAAATATTTAAAAATTATTACATTACAAAGTTACCTCCCCTGTTCATAGACCGAATGACCAAATCTCGTATAATGAGAATTTCATTCGCGGTCACTTTTTAGCCCTCTTAGAGGGCTTTAAGTCTGACCAACAGTTTTTCCATACGGCGTAGTCATCTATAGAGGTGTATAAAAAAATTAGCCAGATGTAAAGAAGGTAAGTGCCCAAAATCCGTTTTCAAATTACACTCTGTTTTTCCCATAAAATACAAAGATTATATTGGGAAATACAACTGGTCAGTTTTGACCCATTTCCCGATTTTTCCCGGACATGGCGAGTTTTTTGTGACGCCCCAAGTCGTTCTCCTACCACCTCACAACATTTCAAGGGGGTAGTCGGAGGAAATTGTTTTTCGTAATAGAGCTCATATAAAGAGAATTTCACTCGCTGTCACTTTTTAGCCCTCGTCGAAGGCTTTGAGTAAAACCGACAGTTTTCCCTAAAGGTCAAGCAAATTTTCCTAAGAGCATGCAAAAAAGTTAGCCAGATGTAAAGACGGTAAGTGCCCTAAAATCCGTTTTGAAATCACCCTCTGTTTTTCCAATAAAATACAAAGATTATATAGGGAAATACGACTGGTCAGTTTTGACCCATTTAACGAATTTTCCCGGACATGGCGAGTTTTTTGTGACACCCCAAGGCGTTCTCCTACCACCTCACAAAATTTCTAAGTGGGTCGTCGGAGGAAATTTTTTTTTCGTTATATAGCCCATATAAGGCGCCGGTCTGTCGAGGTCAGTTTTGACCCCCCTCTCCGTCGACTTTTTGGCGAACAGTCACAAGCCGTCGTGTTCTATCGCACCATCGTGCCAAATTTGACGCGCCTGCGGAACCGGAAGTGCCCTAACGGGCACTTGACCACTTTGCTTTATATATATAGATTAAATGAGTAGGCCTACGTTAAATAAACCGGGAGTAATCGCCCCTAAACTTTCTCGAATATTCTAACATGACACTACGGGAGATGGCACATCATGATATAGACTTGATTTTTAATCCATTTCAAATACTTAAACTTTTAAAAATATAATACAAATATAATACAATCTCGTAGAAAAAAGAACTGCATGCCGAGTGAACGCCAAATAAAATGTATATAATAGTGCGGAATATTATTAGTACTTTATAAATTCATATGCGTTTTTTGAGAAATTGGAAATAGCCTAAATTACTACTTCTGGTAAACGGAAGTTACTAAACTTTAACAGAAGACGGAGATTTAGATCTTGTACTTACATGTGAAATTTCATTTATCTATCTGAAATACTACTCAAGTTATAGCCTTTTGAAAAATTAAAACTAGAAAAATTACACTTCCGTTTATCGGAAATTACTGAAAAGTTGAAACGGATCTACAAATTTGATATAATACTTACGGGTACACAAGTTATCGTGTTTACAGACACACACACACACACACATACACAAGTGGACAAGATTGCAAAATTATGTTTTTCCGACTCAGTGAGGTGTAAAACGTCGAGATTTGCAAAAATCTAGGGGTTTTTTTTGGCACGATTACAATACTTTCTCTATACATTGTATACGAGAAAGAAAAAAAGAATATACAGGATAAATATTTTTAACCATTTATAATTACTTAAACATTTTAAAATAGAAAAGAATCTCATTGAAAAGAGAATTGCACACCAAGCGAATGCCAAACAAAATGTGCATAATAGTTAGGGATATTATTAGTACTTTATAAATTTATGTGGTTTTTTTTTTGAGAAATCGGCAATAGCGTAAATTACTACTTCCATTTAGCAAAAACCACTCCATATTTGACAGAAGACAGAGAATTATATATTTTACGTGTATGTAAAATTTCATTTATCTATCTGAAAAAGTACTCAAGTTATAGGCTTTTGAAAATTCAAAGTAGAAAAAGTTCCATTTCCTGTTATCGGAAATCGCTCAAAAGCTGATACGGATCTACAAATTTGATATAATACTTATATATGAAATTGCATCAACCTAGCTGTAATGGTACTCAAGTTATCGTGTTTACAAACACAACTCCACACATCCACACATCCGGAAAGAATTGCAAAGTCCAGTTTTTCCGATTCGATAACGCGTTAAACGCCGAAATTTTAACAAATCTAGATTTAGCATTTTTGCCCGATTAAAATAAGCCCTCTATACTCCGTTTATGATGAAGTACTGAGAAGTAAAACTGTGGAAACAGTCAAAATTCCATATGATTTTTGTGCACGACTGCAATACTTTCTCTATCTACTGTATACGAGAAAGTAATAAACCGGGAGTGATCTCCCCTAAACTTTCTCGAATATTTTTATATAAAACAACAGGGGATGGCAGTGGATTTTAATCCATTTTAAATACTTAAACTTTTTAAAATAGAATAAAATCTCGTAGAAAAAAAAATGCGCACCAAGTGAACGCCACACAAAATGTGCATAATGGTGTGGAATATTAATAGTAATTTATAAATTACATGCGGTTTTTTTTTTTAGAAATTGGAAATAACGTATATTACTACAACTGGTCAACGGAAATTACATTTTATTTCAGGTTCCTGCTGCTCGTTCTGTTGCCTTCAACCCCATATTAGTGAGTAGTTGTGTGGGGTCGTCCAAAAATGACGTCAAATTCATGGGGGAGGGGTATTCTAAAGTTTGTTATAAAAATGAGATAGGGGGTCAGATAGTGTGGCGTGACATTCTTTATAGTTATTTTAAAATCTGACTTTAAGTTTGTTTTCCAATTTCTGAAAACTGTAAGAAAGTGATTTATTTTCTCTCTGTTTTGTATTTGTATTTGTATCTGTATCTGTACTTGTATTTGTATTTGTATTTTTGTTTGTGTTCGTATTTGTATGCTTTTTAGTTTGCTTTTGAGAAAGCTTATCAAATGAGCATTATTGACACCCCTATTAGACTATTTAAAAGAAGAGCAAGCAATTGTCAAGAAAGGAATTTGAAGATTTGTATCTATCCTATTACACTGCAGTGGTTTGTTTATGCAATAGTGTGTGATGGTTACTGTACAGCAAACAAATATATGTCTTAATGTGCACACAAAATTATTCTGTTGTTTTTCGGTCTGATTTGGACCTCCTAAATGGTCTTCTCTTCCCACCACTTCATTGCGGTTTCTGTCGTATGGGAGTTCTACCCCTTCTTTTAGTATAAACATGTTGAATATAGCCACATACCCACAAATACTGTGTAACATCATAGAAACAATTTAAGGATTTCGCAAGTTTTAGTTTTAACTGTAAAGAACAGAATTAAGAACGTTTATAATTTCGCATTATATCATTACATAACTACAACATAACTCTACTTCTGCTACATATTATTTCAGACTTACTCTACACCAACGATCACCTATCCGAAACGGGTATGTAGTTGTGTGGGGTAGTCCACAAATGACGTCACATAACTAGGGGGCCTGTATTCGTAATTTTGTGAAGATGAGTTATGAGAAGAAGAGAAGTTAGATAGTGTGGTTAAACAATATTTTCACTTTGTATTTGTATTTATTTTTGTATTTGTATTTGTATTTGTAAGCTTTATACTTTTCCTTTTAGAAAAAAAATTAAATGAGCTTTGTAGATACCCCTATAAGACTATTTAAAGAAGAGCAATAAGTCATGAAAGTGATTTGAAGTTTTGTCTCTATCACATTACGCTGTAGTGGTTTCTTTATGCTTGATAGTTACTGCAGAGCAATCATTGCTGTAGTAGTCTGTGTTTTTTTTAAAACACAAATACCTCTAAAAGGTGCACACAAATTATTCTGTCGTTTTCTGTCGGATTTTGTCCTCCTATTTCATCTTCTTCCCGCCCCTTTACTGCGGTGTCTGTCGTATGGGAGTTACACCCCTTCTTTTAAAATAAACATATTGCATATAACTCTAAACACACAAATACTGAGTAACATCAAAGAAGCAATTTAAGATTTTCCGCAATTTCTAATTTTAACTGTAAAGAACAGAATTTGGCAAGTTTATTAATTGCGCATTGTGTCATTACATCAAATACAACATAACTCTACTTCTGCTACATTTTATTTCAGGCTTCAGCTAGATCAGCGGCCCTCCACAACCACCTGGTGAGTAGTTGTGTGGGTTAGTCCATATATGACGTTACATACCTAGGGGGTGGAGTATTCGTAATTTTTGTGACGATGCGTTATGAGGAGGAGAGAAGTTAGTTAGCGTGACTTTACATTATCTTTCTTGTTATTTGGATGTGTATGTGTATGTGTATGTATGTGTATGTGTATGTGTATGTGTATGTGTATTGGTGTTAGTGTTTGCGTTTGAGTTTGCATTTGCATTTGTATATGTATATGTATGTGTATATGTATATGTATATGTATATGTATTTGTATTTGCATTTGTATTTGTTTTTGTATTCGTATTCGTATTCGTACTTGTACTTGTATTTGTATTTGTTTTTGTATTTGTATTTATATTTGTATTTGTATTTGTATTTTTATTTGTATTCGTATTTGTTTTTGTTTTTGTTTTATTTTTTGTTTTTGATTTTGTTTTTGTTTTTGTATCTGTATTTGTATTTGTATGCTTTATACTTTGCTTTTTAGAGAAAAAAAATTAAATGAGCTTTGTAGATTCCCTTATAAGAATATTTAAAGATAAGCAATAAGTCATGAAAGTGATTTGAAGTTTTGTCTCTATCACATTACACTGTAGTGGTTTCTTTATGAAAAATAGTGCTTGATAGTTACTGCAGAGCAATCATTGCTGTAGAAGTCTGAAAAAAAATACCTCTAAAAGGTGCACACAAATTATTCTGTCGTTTTCTGTCGGATTTTGTCCTCCTAATTCATCTTCTTCCCGCCCCTTTATTTACGGTGTCTGTCGTATGGGAGTTCCACCCCTGCTTTTAAAATAAACATATTGCATATAACTCTAAACACACAAATACTGAGTAACATCAAAGAAGCAATTTAAGAATACCGAAAGTTTTAATTTTAACTGTAAAGAACAGAATTTGGAATGTTTATTAATTTCGCATTGTGTCATTACATCAAATACAACATAACTCTACTTCTGCTACATTTTATTTCAGGCTTCAGCTCGATCAGCGGCCCTCAACAACCACCTGGTGAGTAGTTGTGTGGGTTAGTCCATATATGACGTTACATACCTAGGGGGTAGAGTATTCGTAATTTTTGTGACCATACGTTATGAGGAGGAGAGAAGTTAGTTAGCGTGACTTTACATTATCTTTCTTGTTATTTGGATTTGGATGCGTATGTGTATGTGTATGTGTATGTGTATGTGTATGTGTAAGTGTAAGTGTAAGTGTATGTGTAAGTGTATGTGTATGTGTAAGTGTATGTGTATGTGTATGTGTATATGTGTATGTGTATGCGTTTGCGTTTGCGTTTGCGTTTGCGTTTGATTTGCATTTCTATTTCTATTTCTATTTCTATTTCTATTTCTATTTCTATTTCTATTTCTATTTCTATTTCTATTTCTTTTTCTATTTCTATTTCTATTTCTATTTCTATTTCTATTTCTATTTGTATTTCTTTTTCTATTTCTATTTCTTTTTCTATTTCTATTTCTATTTCTATTTTTGTATTCGTATTTGTTTTTGTTTTTGTTTTTTGTTGTTTTTTTTTGTTTTTTTTTATTTTGTTTTTGTTCTTGTTTTTGTTTTTGTATCTGTATTTGTATTTGTATGCTTTATACTTTGCTTTTTAAAAAAAAAAATTAAATGAGCTTTGTAGATTCCCTTATAAGAATATTTAAAGATAAGCAATAAGTCATGAAAGTGATTTGAAGTTTTGTCTCTATCACATTACACTGTAGTGGTTTCTTTATGAAAAATAGTGCTTGATAATAATGCAGAGCAATCATTGCTGTAAAAGTCTGAAAAAAAAATACCTCTAAAAGGTGCACACAAATTATTCTGTCGTTTTTGGTCGGATTTTGTCCTCATAATTCATCTTCTTCCGGCCCCTTTATTTACGGTGTCTGTCGTATGGGAGTTCCACCCCTGCTTTTAAAATAAACATATTGCATATAACTCTAAACACACAAATACTGAGTAACATCAAAGAAGCAATTTAAGAATACCGAAAGTTTTAATTTTAACTGTAAAGAACAGAATTTGGCAAGTTTATTAATTGCGCATTGTGTCATTACATCAAATACAACATAACTCTACTTCTGCTACATTTTATTTCAGGCTTCAGATCCATCAGCGGCCCTCCGCTACAGCTTGGTGAGTAGTTGTGTGGGGTAGTACATATATGACATTACATACCTAAAGGGTGGAGTATTCTTAATTTTTGTGACCATACGTTATGAGGAGGTGAGAAGTTATTTAATGTGATTTTACATTATCTTCCCTTGGTATTTGTATTTGTATTTGTATTTATATTTGTATTTGTATTTGTATTTGTATTTTTATTTTTATTTGTATTTGTACTTGTACTTGTATTTGTATTTGTATTTGTATTTGCATTTGCATTTGTATTTGTATTTGTATTTGTGTTTGTGTTTGTGTTTGTATTTGTATTTGTATTTGTGTTTGTGTTTGTGTTTGTATTTGTACTTGTACTTGTACTTGTACTTGTGTTTGTGTTTGTGTTGTGTTTGTCTTTGTCTTTGTCTTTGTCTTTGTGTTTGTGTTTGTATTTGTATTTGTATTTGTATTTGTATTTGTATTTGTATTTTTGTTTGTGTTCGTATTTGTATGCTTTTTAGTTTGCTTTTGAGAAAGCTTATCAAATGAGCATTATTGACACCCCTATTAGACTATTTTAAAGAAGAGCAAGCAATTGTCAAGAAAGGAATTTGAAGATTTGTATCTATCATATTACACTGCAGTGGTTTGTTTATGCAATAGTGTGTGATGGTTACTGTACAGCAAACAAATATATGTCTTAATGTGCACACAAAATTATTCTGTTGTTTTTCGGTCTGATTTGGACCTCCTAAATGGTCTTCTCTTCCCGCCACTTCATTGCGGTTTCTGTCGTATTGGACTTCTATCCCTTCTTTTAGTATAAACATATTGCACATAGCCACATACCCACAAATACTGTGTAACATCATAAAAAATAATTTAAGGATTTTGCAAGTTGTAGTTTTAATTGTAAAGAACAGAATTTAGAACGTTTATTAATTGCGCATTATATCATTACACAAATACAACATAACTATACACCTGCTACATTTTATTTCAGTATTCCCCTCCACCATCGATCACCATTCCCGAACCGGTGAGTAGTTGTGTGGGGTAGTCCACAAATGACGTCACAAAACTAGTGGGTGGGTATTCGTAATTTTCTGAAGATGCGTTATGATAAGAAGAGAAATTAGAGTGTGGTTTAACAATATTTTCACTTTGTATTTATATTTATATTTATATTTATATTTGTATTTGTATTTGTATTTGTATTTGTATTTCTATTTCTATTTCTATTTCTATTTGTATTTGTATTTCTATTTCTATTTCTATTTGTATTTCTATTTCCATTTCCATTTCCATTTCCATTTCCATTTCCATCTCCATCTCCATCTCCAACTCCATCTCCATCTCCATTTCCATCTCCATTTCCATTTCTATTTCTAATTCTGTTTCTATTTCTATTTCTATTTCTAATTCTATTTCTTTTTCTATTTCTATTTCTATTTCTATTTACATAACTCTACACCTGCTACATTTTATTTCAGGAATTACCTCCATGGTGGAACTTCATTCCCAAACGGGTGAGTAGTTGTGTGGGGTAGTCCACAAATGACGTCACAAAACTAGAAGTGGGTATTCGTAATTTTCTGAAGATGCGTTATGATAAGAAGAGAAATTAGATAGTGTGGTTTAACAATATTTTCACTTTGTATTTGTATTTGTATTTATATTTATATTTTTGGATTTGTATTTGCGTTTGTTTTTGTATTTGTATTTGTATTTGTATTTGTATTTATATTTTTGGATTTGTATTTGCGTTTGTTTTTGTATTTGTATTTGTAATTGTATTTGTATTTGTATTTGTATTTGTATTTGTATTTGTCTGCTTTATACTTTGCTTTTTAAAAAAAAAAATGAGCTTTGTAGATACCCCTGTAAGACTATTTAAAAAAGAGCAATAAGTCATGAAAGTGATTTGAACTTTTGTCTCTATTACATTACACTGTAGTGGTTTCTTTATAAAAAATAGTGCTTGATAGTTACTGCAGAGCAATCATTGCTGTAGTAGTCTTTTTTGTTTAAACAAAAATAACTCTAAAAGGTGCACACAAATTATTCTGTCGTTTTTGGTCGGATTTTGTCCTCCTAATTCATCTTCTTCCGGCGTCTTTATTGTGGTGTCTGTTGTATGGGAGTTCCACCCCTGCTTTTAAAATAAACATATTGCATATAACTCTAAACACACAAATACTGAGTAAATCAAAGAAGCAATTTAAGATTTTCCGCAATTTCTAATTTTAACTGTAAAGAACAGAATTTGGAATGTTTATTAATTTCGCATTGTGTCATTACATCAAATACAACATAACTCTACCTCTGCTATATTTTATTTCAGGCTTCAGCTAGATCAGCGGCCCCCCACAACCACCTGGTGAGTAGTTGTGTGGGTTAGTCCATATATGACGTTACATACCTAGGGGGTGGAGTATTCGTAATTTTTGTGTCGATACGTTATGAGGAGGAGAGAAGTTAGTTAGTGTGACTTTACATCATCTTCTCTTGTTATTTGTATTTGTATTTGTATTTGTATTTGTATTTGTATTTGTGTTTGTATTTGTATTTGCATTTGCATTTGTATTCGTATTCGTGTTTGTGTTTGTATTTGTATTTGTATCTGTGTAACATCAAAGAAACAATTAAAGATTTCGCAATTTTTAAATTTAACTGTAAAGAACAGAATTTCGAACGATTATTAATTGCGCATTGTATCATTACCTCAATACAACATAAATCTACTTCTGCTACATTTTATATTAGGCTTTAGCTCGTTCAGCGGCCCTTAACAACCAACTGGTGAGTAATTGTGTGGGACAGTCCATAAGTGACGTCTCATACCTAAGGGGTGGGGATATTTGAAAATATATTTGACGATGCGTTATGAGGAGAAGAGAAGAGGTTAGATAGTGTGATGTCACATTTTAAAAAAGTAATTTTAGAAACTGAATTTTAGTTCTTATTTTGCGTTTTAGAAAATTGTCAATTTTATTAGAAATTGATTTATATTTCATTTATTTTTTGGTGAATTGTTTTGTTTTAGGCCATTACCCAAAGACAATGCAATGTAATATAAAATTTTACATAGTTATATCTTAAATGTTAATTTAATTTTTCAATTATTTCTATATGATAATCTAATCTTGCAAAATTACAAAGCGTGGGTTGGTATATTCTTTACTAGAATTTAATAAGTGGCCCACGCATTTATTTTTAGCTATTTAAATAGTAGTTCATTATAATATTTTTATAGAAAATTATTCATTTTCTTATTAGAAGTTCATAATGGAAGAAAAGTTTGTTATCAGTACGTTTTTATGCATTTTTCAGTACTTTAAAATTTTTAATACTATAGAATTGTATGACTAAATCATTTCCAAAACATGTGCGGATAATAGCGCGTTAAATATTACTTTAAATTGGAAATTTTATTTAATTCTTTAAAATTAATGGAGTACCAAATAAAGCCAAATTTGATGTCAGATTGCATTTTAATTGGATTTCGATCCATGTACCAAGTTTCAGAGAAATTGGTTGGTTAGCAGGGGCGGAACTACAGTGCCGCCAGACCCCGCAATGCGGGGGGGGGGGGGGCGCGCCGTTTAGGGGTCCCACAGCCGCCCATAATAAAAAAAATTATAGTTAAAATTAATTTTCTTGCATTTTTGACCTGATGGTTGTTTTGGAAAAAGATTCTTTTCCTACAAACACACGCTGTTGTTGGCAAAATTCTTTTGAAAAAACATCAATTGCGCGAGAGGCCGCTAGATATTAAGACGGCTTTTTGAGACCATCCCAAATATGGTACGGATGGATAAAACCACATCGGTGCTTTGTTATCCCTTTTAAGTTCCTTTCTCAGACCTCCACTCCCGCTCTTAGCCTTACAACAGGGGTCTCCAAACTTTTCAGTCCGAGGGCCGCATTAACTATCAAATTTCAGTTCGGGGCCATTTTTTTCCAGGCATGTCTTTGATTTTTCTGCGCAAAGTTCCTCAGCCATCACCAACAAACGATTTTTCCTTGGATAAAAGGATCTCCGCGGGCCGGATGAGACGACTTCGCGGGCCGTATCCGGCCCGCGGGCCGTAGTTTGAAGACCCCTGTCTTACAAGAAGCGAATAGGTAGCGCTCCAACAACTAAGCTGGCTCGTATTGGTGGTAGTGTAGACAAACTAGCGCTCCAACAACCAATATCCAAGAAATAAAGTGCCGACATCGTTTACGTGTAATAACCACTGTTCTATAAAACAAGGCAAAAGTCTCAAATAAATACACGACTGATAGCGTGTTATATATATATATATATATATATATATATATATATATATATATATATATATATATATATATATATATATATATATATATTTATATATATATTAGTTTCGTCACTGGCACCTTGATAGTGGTTTTGTAAATAACAAACAGATAACAGATCTAATACAGTAGTGATGTTATATAGTAGCTAAGACAAGCCGTTGCGTAAAAAAAATGTAAAAAATAAACACATTAGCTGTAGTGTGAAAGATAGGCAAACGTTCAAACCACTTCCATAAATTATTTCCCTTTGTCAAATAGTCAAATAAGAGTGCACAAAATCTCCTTTTAACAGATTTGTAATAATCAAATTAAACAGCAATTACTCATCTTAAGTATTATTTTTTTTTAAATTACTAAAGAATGATCTATATATATATAATTCTCTTCTGGGAGCCGTTAGAAAACAAGCTGCAAATGCGCCTTGCAATCCCCTCTCTTTCTCTCAGTCGCTACCATCCCCCAACCCCCTCACATGGTCTGGTGAGCTGTGGTTCACGCTAAATAAATGTTTACATTTTACAATCGTAGAGCCGGGTTTGGTGACGGCTATTAGGGGCAGATAATTTAGTTTAAAACGATTTTAAACTTAGTGGAGGTAACTAAGAGGAGGCTGCTTTCAAGGGGGGGGGGGGGGGGTTGAAGGGGGATTTAGTGTTGTAAAGCAAATATTTTCAGCGGCAGCATTGGTACTGTCGAATTCACAAATTATGACTAAACAACTAAATAACAACTAACTAGTGGCGTATGATACACCGGGTCGGCTCGTATAGTATAAAAATGAAACGTAGTTAAAGTTAATAATATAAATACAAAAAAAAAACACACAAAAAAAAACATAACACGAGACACCATTACTTATACAAAGCTTCATGATTCATACATATACTTTTGACAGACTTAATGATTAGAAGGAATTAAACATAAATGAAAGCAGAGATTTTCAAAACAGACCAATGCACTCATACAAATGACATGTTGTTGTGATTAGATTTAATTGAATTGAATTTTAATTTTTTTTCAAAACCCAATCAGGCCAGAAAGGAGTATCCTATGTTCGTATTGTGTTTGTATATATATATATATATATATATATATGGGGGGCCCAAAACATTTTTTTGCGGGGTGGCCCATTTTTTCTAGTTCGGCCACTGTTGGTTAGAAATGTAACTTTATATTACCACATAACAAAATTACTACATTGAATCATACACATTACTATTCTATAATGATAGCCTACAAGAATTAATTTTCGTGTTGCGGTATAAACATAATTTTTTTGTTTACAGAGTAAATTGTTTATTCCTCACGAAGAGATCTTGAAAGCATTCCACCCTGCATTAAGTAGTCCTGGACCTATCGTACGTATGAGAAGTCAATCCCAGGTGTAAACTTGAAACTTTATTTTTAAAATGTAATTTATCACGAAATGAGCAAACTGCATACCGCCAAGCATCCATAAGGCCCTGGGCTAGGCAGAACAAGCATTCAGTGTGACTTCAATTTTTCGACGATGCGATAACTATTCGGGTTATTGAAGCGGTTGAGCATCAGACCTCTTATTTTTGGTGCGGCGTGGGTTCTATTCCTTTTGGATTCTTATTTTGCTTTTTTCTTACCTTTTTATGTAAATAAAAGCTGATGTTCAACTTTTTAAAAGAATTTCAGGTTAGGTTTAGGCTTAGGAGTTAGACATTAAGAATAGGATCAGGGTTCGGCTTGGTACATTGAAAACATTACTGTAAAGGGAGGCGCATGCGTAGCTTTTTTTCCGGCTAGAATCGGCCAATTTAGTATTCATTTTGTTCAATGATTAGGGCTCTTTATTTACTGTAGGTCTCATCTGCTGCAGAATAGTAGTGAACCTGAGCCCCTGTGCATGACGCCTGATCAATGCACCCATGCGCTTTAGCTAGCCAATGAGAACTTTTGTGGGGGCCCGATTTTACTTCACTGTCGGTACACTGGATTACGACCGTGGTTCCTACAGTATCAGTCGTGTCGGGCACTCTTTCAAATAAACATAGGCGCCACAGCGCTCACTGGAGAGCTGGAAGGCGCAGGTTGCGGCCGATGCAGTTTGGCCGTTAAATTTTTAGTACCTGTGCGTCCTCTACGGGACGCCTAATTAACAACAGATACACATGTAATTATTATATGATATTATAACCTTAATTATTGTCCCATTGTATAAGTATATAACTTGAACATAATATTAGAGTATTACATCATAAACTTATTCAACGGCGTGGCTTGAGCGGTAGGGCGCTATGCCTCTAACCCTAAAGACGCGAGTTCGAATCCCGGTCCAAGTCAATAGAATCCACCTAACACTGATGTAAAAGCAGCTAGATAAAGAACTGACTACACTTACCCTAAAATTGGCGAGGTCAAAAACAAATGAAGTATATTTTACCAATGGATCGCTAGGTTTAAATTATAACCTTAATTCATTTCCCCATTGATAAGCATTATTGTTATACCATAAACTTAATATTACTGCATTACAGCATGCTCATGCAGGCCAACTCCGAGACGTCCTCAGGGGAGCTGTAAGTTTTAAAAATCCATTACAAATAATAAATACATAAAAACGTTTATATAAATAAAAGCATGGGCCGCTTGTTTAAATATTTATTATTATAGCGGCCCACGCTTTTATTTATAGTGATATAAATAGTAGTGCATTAATATATTTAAAGAATGTATTTTTTTAAATTTAAAGTAACCGCAGATTTGTTATATTTTTAAAAATTATTTTATATTTAATAAAAAAATGTATTATTTTCTTCTTTTTAGTGCATTTATAAAAGCTTGTAATTATAAACGTTTTTATGTATTTATTTTTTAATACCTTTTAACATTAACGAGTTATACGCACGTTAAGACAATATAGTGTAGCAATAAATATATGATACATAATTTGAAAAACAAGGGGTCGGAGTGGTCGAGTCGGTAAAGCTCATGGTTGATAAATTCGAAAAAATCTCGAGTTCAAACCCTCTGGCAGATAAGGCTCGATCTCTTCCAACAATAAAAATTAAGAACGAAGAAGAAGAAGAAGATTTGAAAAACAGTTTTGCTTTAATAATTTGATTAGTTTTACTTTACGTGTCACATTTAATGATGTTTTAGTTACAATCAAAAAATTGCCATAATTAGCTGAACACAAATCTTTAACACCTCTTGAACCGAAGAATTAAACTGCTGACCCGTCTAAAAACCATTGCGCGCCTTGTAAAAAAAAGCTTGTAAAAATTAAGTTTACTTGGACATGCTTTTTTAATAAGATTTTTTTCATCTAAATGTAGTTAAACTATCCCTCATTCTTGATAACCGTGTGTTTCGGGGGTCATCCATAAATGACGTCAGTTTTGTTTGCCGATTTATATCTTTCCCCTTCCCTCCCCAGTGTCACACATCTTCAACTAAAAGCCTGACCCCACATTCAAAGAGATTTCACGTCTCACACAACATGTTTTTGTCTTTTAGAAAGGCCAATTTCGGTGGTGTATGGGTCTGACCATAGAAATAAAATAAATTAAAATTGACATTTGTCTCGAACCCGTACCACCCGCATGGTAACTATTACATCTCAGCTAGCCGGGCACTTCCGATTAGTTGCAAAATAAGTGGGATACTTTAGATAGTCAGCGTACAAAACGCGAGTTACGCAAATAGCCCATATTATTTAAAATTAAATTATATCCTAAATTAGCAAATTCCATAACTAAACAAACAAAGATTTACATTATAAAATAATAAAGGCCTGAAATAGTTTAGTATAGAAACTCATTATTAGCATAGATTTTAGATCTAGATAGATCTAGATCTAGAATCTACAGCTGGCTTAAGTCTTTTTTCCGTAACTCTAGATCTAGATGAATTCATTGTATAGGGCTGGTAAGTAGGTCACCAACCAGTTCTATGGCTCATGCAGGTTTTATTTAACCGTAGAACGGATTGGTGACCTACTTACCAGCCCTATTCTCGAATTAGTTGATCTGTGCAGCTAAAAAGCAAAGATTTATATCAAATATTTGAAGACTAAAATAGTTTAATAAAGAAACTCAATTGCTTTTTGTGTGGGTTTTTTTGTGTGTGTATATAACTAATTAATTTAGGTTTGGCCTATCGGTAGATCTAAAATCTGTAGATCAATTCTAGGCCTTAGGTTAGAAGAATTTATTGTATAGATTAGTCAAATTAGAAGAACTGCCCATCTTATCCTATTTAAAATTGATAATAGTGCTGGAACCTAATAAAAATAGCATAGTCGATAGAAAAGGTATCTATTTATAATGCGTAAATCTTTTGAATGGGCAACATGATCATTTATAATTTTCAAATATCTACTTTTAAATACTATACGCCAAATGCATGAATTAAGTACCACGTTTAAATCAGCCTAATTGTATTCATAGTTTGGTTTGGTTAATCACCCAGATGCCGGTGTCTATATTACCCATGCAACACCCACACCCAAGACACTTCGAAGATTCTAGTGAAGAAGATCTAAGTCACGAAAACTTCAACAAACACAACCCATTGAAACTGGTACGTAGTAGAAGGCAGCCTCTAATGACGATGTTTTATATATTTTATAACCAGTTGCTTAAATCGGATTAATTGTGTGTGGGCTCTGGCGTTGCGGCATCTGGCGTCATGGTAATTCCACTTAGGCACTGATGTAAACTAGCAGTTAATTACAGCATGAGCATGCAATTATTGTATTACATTATAACCATACTAATTTTCTCATAGTATAAGAATATAATTGTTGTAATACAACAATAACATGATATTATTGTTTTAGAAACGCTCAAGTGCTTGATAACATTTAAGTTGTAAAAATGCATTAAACAATTAAGTTTAATTGAAAATACTTTTCTTTGAAATATGCATTTGTAATTATTTTAAATAACTATTTTTAAAACCTATAAGCCTTAAGCATTAATTAGTACGACATTTAAATAAGCCTAATTTTATTCCAAAGACAGGAGTTTGATTTATTTTTTATCACCTAGCTTCGCAGATTCTTTGCACCCTTGAGTCTCCCAGGACACCTTCATGCCTCAAGTGAAGAAGATGCAGGTCCCATAAACTTAAGAAAATATAACGTACGTACAACAAGCCAGCCTTGAATGCTCTCGTTTTTTTTTCAAACTTTTATTAAACTTGCTTCCTCGGTCGTTCTTTTGTCCTGCTTTTGTCGTGCTTTTATGGTGCTTTAGTTGTACTTCTTCATGGATTAAAACTGGCGAGCGAAATTTTAATCATGCTGTTAAAACATTTTAACTATTGAAAATTAATTCCTTAATAACGTTTAAATAAAGAGGTTTTTTTAAATTTAATAATGCACTAAAAATGAGAAAAGAAATGATTATCTTTAAATATAATACTGAAAAACGAAATAAATAATGCTTCATCTTTTTTATATTTGGTGTAGGTATGCAAATCTGTAAACGCTTTCCAATTTTTTATTTAAAAAGATACTATTTCATTTCAATATTTAATACAATAAGAATTACTTATAAAATAGTTTTAGTGGCGAAGCCAGGAATTGGTCATGGGAGGGTTCAAACAATTTTCCATATGTATACAATCATATAATATAGGGGTCAATGGGAGGGGTTATAACCCCCCTAACCCCCCCCCCCTTGCCTACGCCACTGCTATGGGATTTTACGACTAAACTTTAGTAACAACCTTTTAAATGTATTTATCTCTTTGAAGCTTTTAAATTTTATTATATTTATAAGATTTTCTTTAGTTCCTAAAGTCGGTTGGTTTGTTTGTTTGTATAATTGTTTGTTTACTTGATTGTTTGTGGGTTTGTGGCAAGTCTTGTGACTCGTTTTTAACTTCTAATTTAGCGATGTTGTTCACAATTTTTAGATAAATTTGTCTCCGATGACAATTATAATTAAAATATCTCAATTTTAATCTAATTAGAAATTAGAAAAATCATAACAATTTAAAGAAGGCATTACTAAATTCAATAATAAAAGGGGAAACAATAGTATTAAGTTCGAGCTTTTCGCTCTCAGCTAGTTGTCGATAGTGAATTGTTGCTTACGACAGAGATTCGACTACAGACTAAGAGGAGGCAGATATTTTTCTTTTAGAAATCGCAAAATACTGTTCGGGTTAAGGCAAATATTTTAGTCGTATTTAGTGTTGACTTGATTAAAAATAAAATACTAAAGGGTAAAATAAATGAAAACAACATTTTAAAAAAATGGTTATAATAATAAACTTTTAAATGTACTGGAAACTTAAAAATTAAGTACACATGTTTGCTTTCTTGAGTTAAAGCATTGATCGCTAATTAAATCAAAACTCTTTCATATTTTAGCAACCAATATATGTACTGAAGAATGCACGTTTAATATGTTAAATGTGTGTGCATTAAAAAGCTTAGGATTATAAAAGTTTACTAAATGTGTTTTATTACTGGTAGAAAGTGTCGTTTCTTATATACTTTAGTTTACAATTGAAGCTCTTAAAAGAAACTTTTAATGTATATGTAGAAAGAAGAATGTTAATTTTAGAAAATAAATATTTTTCTTCTCAATAAGGCCTTCAAGCCAATGGTGAAATATCACGTGAGTAATTGTATCAATGTATTTATAATTCTATTGTGGGCCTTGAAAGTTTACAATCAGGATTATAAGTGAACATATCTTTATGATTATTAACTCACATAAATGCTACTAATCATCGCCCCATTGACGACTTGGTGAGTTTGATTAACTGTTGAATTGCTATGTCGATGCCCCGCCATCAGCAAGTCACTCTGATTTTGTTTTGTTTTAATTACTTTTTAGAGTATTCAATTAAATAAAGGAATAGAAATATTTTAATCTGTAATTATGTTGATATTAAAACTTTCGGATTTAAATAAAGAGGTAGCTGTATTTTAATATTTAAATATGTTCCCACTTATAAAGGATTCCAAACGATACTTTGGGCGGCGGTCTCCATTTTATGTAAGTTATAGTTTTCGTATTTTTAACAATCCGTCTTGGTCAAACATTTAATTCCCCTTAAAGCCTGAAAGTTGTAGCAAAGTTGATGTATGCCTACAAATGCTTTGTATTGTGAACGGCAGTTTTTCACCCTTATACTTTTCTTCACGAGGTCGGGTGTCACCCGGTGCGGCACTTAATGGTGTCACCCCCAGAGGCGTAGCGACCCTTCCCGGGGACAAACTTTCAAGTTTTCGATTTGCACACCCCCACTCAAACTTTCGATTTGCACCCCCTCAAGTTTTTCTCTATATACTTTGCTATTTTTTGCCTTGGTGTCACCCCCCCCCCTAAATGGTGTCACCCGGTGCGGTCCGCACCCCCCGCCCCCCCTCGCTACGCCCCTGCACATGGGCAAGTTTCGCCACTCCCATCTCTTATTGTTATATGCATGTGCTGTTTTAGTCTGTTGTGGCCTGTTCTGAGTCTGTACGATTATTTCTACTGAAACCAATCGTTTTTTGTTTTTATTTAAATGGCCGATGGTTGATTGACAGGTCGTACAGCCCAGCTATTGATTTTTAGTCGGGGAGTAATGCCTCGGGGGTAAAGGGGTAACTGAAAGGAGTTCATTGCCTCGGGGGTAAAGGGGTAACTGACAGGAGTTCATTGCCTCGGGGGTAAAGGAGTAACTAAAAGGAGTTCATTGCCTCGGGGGTAAAGGGGTAACTGAAAGGAGTTCATTGCCTCGGAAGTAAAGGGGTAACCGACAGGAGTTCATTGCCTCGGGGGTAAGGGGTAACTGAGTGTGCAATAACCGAGGGTAATACGGCAGGGTGGGACCAAGTTATGTTTACCTTTTTTCCAACCTCCTACCGTTATACGTAACGTTATTTCAGTCTACAACACCTCTATTGAAATGATATTTTGTCAAAAAAAAAAACAATTTTACAAGAATAATTAAATTTGCCGGACGAAGACTTTAAAACGAATCTGTTTGCGTTTCCTTTTCATTTAACGATTTGTGCGGTATAACCTTTTTAAGTATTCATGAGATGTTTTAAATAACGTTCCAATATTATGTATAAAACCAGCTAACCATTAATACACTGCATGTTTTCATCACCAGCTAAAGCCCAGCGACAAACTATTTACTTGGCCCTGAAGCAAGTATTAATTCAGTCATTTTTTAATTATTTTAAAAGCTAATAAAATAATAAAGTCTGTTTTTTTATAATTTTTAATCTAAATGTTTTTTATTTTTATTATATTTTAAAAAAAAAATAGAAATAGACAGTGGGGCATTAAAGGTTAAGTTTCAATACGTTCCCTTAATATGTAAATTTTCATTATCAAAGCGAGTCCTTTTATAATCTGTTAATATAATCTCTTGTAACAACTGGCATTTCTTCAGGTGCTTACGGCACTAGAGCTATGTCTGCAAGTGGTTGATCTAATTCAAGCACTTTGAAAAAAAAAATGTGAAGTTTATATAAGGCCGCTGCTAATCTATGTCAAAGCTCGGTCAATTTAAACGCGATTATTGGGATGGCTATAGTTTTCCTGTGGGTTTAAATTAAGACTAAGGGTCTATTACGTGTTTTATTAAAATAAATTGTCTCTATTCTGCCTGCAACTATCAGATCTACCACAGGAGTGATAAATAAATATTTCCCACTTAACGTTTATATGATAAATATGAATTTATATATATATATATATATATATATATATATATATATATATATATATATATATATATATATATATATATAAACACTTTACTATATACATATGTTCCAACTCACATAGACGGTTCATGGAAAAAATCTACTAGCAGGAGGAATGTCCGCGAATTTTGTAAGTCATATGATTGGTATATACAACCATCCGGCATGGTAACAAAAAACTATTCAAACGTTTATTTCTCCTAAAACCCTGAAAATGTTTATAAATTCGTTTTGTTCAAAAGTATAGCAAAAATGCTGAATGTCCAAGCTATAAACTACTACCATGTACGTTTAATTACATATATATATATATATATATGTATATATATATATATATATGCATGTATGAAAGTATGTATTCGTATTTACATATGTATCATATTTCTAATATTCTATTTCACTCAACTCCTCAGCGCACTATGTATAACATTCTTCACTATGCAGTTGATTACACTGCAGACAAGCAGTGTTTTATTTGAAAAAAAATTTTCTTGAAATTAAAGTACCCCAGCATACATATGTAGTTTGCTTAACTCTGTTAGTGAAGCGTAAAACATGCAGTCTAGTTGTCTTTTCCTATGTTTGTATTAATGTTGCTGTCCTGTTACTATTACAAACAGACATGTAATTATTAAAAAAAATTAATATAAGACAGTACGAGTTAACTTTGGAAAACGCTATTAATTTAAAACATTACGTAAAACAAAATTTAATTTAAACTGTAATAAAAATTTAAGACATAATCAAATGTTAATTCTCTATGCAAAATTAAACTTTGTCGATTACCCGAATGCCTAGCAGTAGAGCGCTAGATTGCTACCCCGGAAGTCTCGACTTCGAATCCGGGTCCAAGTCAGTAGAACGTCCTTGGGTCCATCATGCTCTGATAGGCACTAACTCACCGTAGGAAAAATAAAGTCAGCTGTGCCATCTCTTCATTTGCCTAGGTCTCAGAAAAATATGAATTCTATTTCACTTGCCCCATGGACTTTCAGATTGGAAAAGGGAACTTTGTTTTTACTTAAAATAGTACTGAAACAAATTGTTCAGTCTTCGCTTATCGTGCGAAATCATGGGGGGAGGGGGGGGGACAAATAATAAATGTAATTTTTCATGAAATAAAATATCCAAATTCTTGGTCGTGACTAATATTCATTGTCCTTCGGAAAATCATCATACACAGGCATGTTTTTATCTGTGTATTAATTGATCACGACTGGAAAATATTAGTCATTTGATACACGAACTAATCATTTACTTTTACAAGACAAAATACCAGATTTCGCACAATACGTTCAAACGAGTATTTAAATGTTTGAGTTGATGTTCCTTTAAAATTAATAAATGGTATCTATAAATCTGGGTTTGAAAATCAAATATTTGGGCTAGAAATGTCTAAAATGTTACATGTTGAGGGTAGTTAAGTAAGCTATCTAGGGGCCGAACTATCATACCACCAGATCCCGATACTCACATCATAAGAATAAAATTGACATAATTTAAACGCGGTTCTCAACTAATGTATTAGGCTCATAGATTTTAAAATAATTGTATAATAATTATAAATACATATTTCAAAGAAAAGTATTTTCAATTAAACTTGGTTAATTTATGTCTTTATTAAAGTGTATCGAGCTCTTAGGCGTTTTTAATCCTGTAAAACAATAATATCATGTTAATGTTGTAGTACAACAATTATATTCTTATTCAATGAGAGAATGAGTACGGTTATAATGTAATACAATAATTACTTGTTTATGCTGTAATTTACTACTAGTTTACATCAGTAAATGGGCGGAACTATCAGCAATATTCTAATAGAGCTCAATTAAATAGGTTTTTTTTTTATTAAAAGCAAATTGGAAATTAATTGCTTCTCTTAATTATTATTTATATAAGACAAACTAAAGAATGACTTAGGTATAAAATGAATTTATTTAAAATTAATAATATGAATACAAATGAAAACAACATAAGAATAAAACTAACATGGGACACCATAACACTTATCAAGCTTCCGTGATTCATATGCATTTCACTGACTTGCCAAATATGAAGTTAAACTTTTCACAATCTTTGTTTTCGGCGGGCGCAAAATGAAATCAAAACCCTTTTAAACTCGATTAATTCAGGCCTGAAATGAGCTAGAGGCTATGTTTTATGATATATATATATATATATATATATATGTATATATATATATATATATATATATATATATATATATATATATATAAATATATATATATATATATATATATATATATAGGAGGCCCAAAGTAATTTTTTCGGGGGCTTTTTTTCTAGTTCCGACACTGAAGCTTGCTTGCAATGTCTAAAATATTACAGGTTGAATCAAGGTTGCTGTGATATTCCCACAAAAGAGACCACATGAGCTAATTTACGGTATTAGCAGTATTAAAGTAACATAAAAACTCATTCGGGAGCTAATAGCAGTGGGATAATGAAAGAGGAGGGGCCAATGAAAACGGGGAAGGATAAAGTCCACTGACGTTCTGCCTAAGGCACTATTACATAGTAGTACTTACACATCAGCGAGCTTAGACTCATTTTCTATAGTACCACAAGAGAACGGAGTAAGACTCGATGCTTGCAACTCTTTTCATGTGAGGATAAAGGCTGGAATGAGCTGTAAGTAACAGAACTAGGAAACCAGTCAAGTCACTAAATAAAATACCTATCACCTTCGAAATATATTGGAATATCTCAAGTCATAAAGGATAGTCATCATTTCTGGTCCTTTTTTTTAAATTTAATCAGGAACTAACTTGATATACTCGATAGTTTATACGAGAACATTTGGGAGCAGCTAAACTTTGAATGCATTACCATGTCCGCTATAATAGATACATAAATTCCGATTTATTCATATTTAATGGATGGTTTTTTAATATTTCAACAGTCATATGGTACACGCACACCTAAGTTATTTTTATAGGAAAACATAAGGTCCGGGCAGCACATAAGCATAGTACATGTTTGAACAGACGCAACTATAATTTAATCCGTCAATATCGACTCCACCGTGTGGATGGAGAGCCCCTATAGCATACCCCAGCCTGTACACAAACGCCCCGCTACTTCCTGGATATGTACTCGCTGTGTACGTGTATCTGGTTTCAAAATCACACCGTCCGGACCTGGTACTAAATGCACCAAACTCATTATTCCAGGTTTCTGGACATCCAAATATAAACCTGTTTACCCAGTGACCTACAGAGACCTGCATAGAACAGCCATGAGGATGAGACACTATAATGGTCAGCCTGTCCACATCGCGACATCTCTCGTATTTGCTATTTACCTTCAAACTCAAATCACTCAACTCCCTAACCATATCTTTCAATAATTTACATGAAACCATATCATGTGTCATACAGTACAAATCACACCAGTCATCCTGTGTACTTGAGACTACCGCCTTCCAACCATGAATTTTAACCACTGGACTTTGTTCTTCATTGAACCATAACCTGCAAGTCGCCTTCTTCGCCTCACTGTCATCAAAAACCACATGTTTGGCTGTCCTGACGACAACTTCAAAACAAATTTCACTGGGTGAGTCAGAGTCGATACAAACAGGGCATGGACACGATTCAAAACCAAACCTTTTTGTTTTTGAAAAATTAGCCACACTTAACACCCTCCCAGTCCCTGTCGTCAGCAAACTTTTTCCTCTGTTGTTATAGCACGGATAGGGATCCTGAGTGCCTGGTACAAACTCTGGTCTGTCTGGACTGGTAAAGTTAACGGCTACCCTGAGTGCCTGGTACAAACTCTGGTCTGTCTGGACTGGTAAAGTTAACGGCTACCCTGAGTGCCTGGTACAAACTCTGGTCTGTCTGGACTGGTAAAGTTAACGGCCACCCTGACCGTTACATTGGCCAGACTTTTGACCACCTGAACAATGTCGTCATCCTGGTAGCCAGTAGTCAGATGTGTTTTGTTGAATACATTAACAGGTACAAACTTTGTGTGGCCAGGATTTTTCTTACAGCTTAAGATGTGAGTGTGTAGATCTATCTCACATTGACCTTCAAGACATTCTTGTACCTCGTTTGTAACTGTACGGATAATAAAACACAAACCTTTATTATCAGCGTTTATCTGACTAAAATTAAGAAAATTAACATAAATGTTTAATTAGCAATAATAGGAATAGTGCTTTGTTTAAAGCTGTAAAAATAACAGGTCACACGTTAAACGTAGTTTTGTGCATGACAATGTTTATTTAAAATGATGTCACACCTCAGATAACATATTTTTGTAAAAAAACCACCGATATCCATTCATATGCTGAAGTCACAGATACAGGTGAACTCTACTTCACCTGCCCAGTGTGCCGCCGATTCCGGAAAGGCAACTTTATCTTTCACGTCTAGAAAGAAGTCACACCTCAGCTTACATGCTTTTTTTTTCCTTTTAAAAAAATCGATTTCTTTCTATAATATTTTCTGAGCTCGAACCTCATTTGAATAATAAAAAAAAATTATTAAAGCTAACGTCAAACTAATAATAATAGATTAGAACCAATCGCGTGTGTTGTGATTTCCCACTGTGCATTTTCAATGAGGGAAAATAAAAAATAAAAACATCAACAGTGACACGCTGTGTTTCGAACCCGCACTATCCGCATGGTTACTATTACACTATCACCTAGGCCAGCAGGTAGATATTATTGAGTTTATCTACTAAATAATTAATTTTGGTTTCGCCTATCGGTAGATCTCGATACATTTATTGTATACTCAAATTAGAAGCGTATCCTATTGAAAATTGATTATGGTGTTGGAACCTAATTAAAATAGCAAACAGACATATCGTTAAAGCTATAGCCGACAGAAAATTTAGCTTTATAATGCGTTAAACTTTTGAATGGTTGCCCATTCCATAGAAGCCCTCCATGCAGTAGCGGATTAAGGGGGGGGGGGCTAAAAGGGCTGTATTGCTATTCACTATAAAAACAACTGTTTTAATATTTGAATCACAAGCTACAATCATTTTTTAAAATATCAAACACGTACACACTTAAGTATAAAAGCTACCTATTATCACCTCCTACCCAGACATTGTTTATATAAACCCGAAGTTCCCTAAAATAACATAGTCAGGACTAACGATTGTTTATGACTATAACATAAGTTGCTTTTTAGCGTTAAAAAACACACACAAAAACCGAATTGTGAAGCATGACTGACACATCTTTAAAAAAGCCAGAAATTTCAAGTTTTTTCATCAGATCGTATAAGTTCATGTTATGCGAGGTAACAAAAATGTATTTTAAAATTTTGTAAAGGATAAACACTGTGAACTAGTTCTCACTCGCAAGCATTCAGACAACTTGCATTATAGGCTAACCCTAGCGATCAATGTAAAAATTCCTAACCGTGTTTAAATTATTGTACTAAAATGACAAGCCATTTTATTTACCAAAGGCCAAAAATATGAGTTCTTCCCAACGAAAAAACTTAAAAACTTCCCGACCCTCTAAT